TGTGTGTGTGTGTGTTTGTGTGTGTGTGTGTGTGTGTGTGTGTGTGTGTGTGTGTGTGTGTGTGTGTGTGTGTGTGTGAGAGAGACAGTGTGTGTGTGTGTGTGTGAGAGAGAGAGTGTGTGTGTGTGTGCGCGTGTGTGTGTTTACTCACGTCGAGTGTGTTCCATAAAAGAAGATGGGGATCTTATTTTGGGGGGCTTTTCCTTCACCAATCTGAGTGACATATAAAACAACATACCAACAGTCAGATTTTAATTGACCTCATTTACATATAAGACAGTATGTGATAAATACGCCTTAAATCTGCTGTATATAAACTCACCCTGGCAGGCCAGAAAGGATAACCCTTCATCTTAGCAAACACTATGTCTCCTGGAATAAAATCATCTGTGGTCTGATCAAATGTTATCTTCATCTGAGAAAACATAGGGTTAATTAATAAAAACAACACTCGTTATGTGCCCCCAACACACAGAATCAATAAACAAAACACTGGACCAGCAGATACACGGCTTATATTAATAAAATTAGCCTTATGGTTATAAACATGCCTCTGTTAAACAATAATATGACTTTATTATAATTTCACCGCTATCGACTCTGAAGTAAATAAAATGATAGCCGTGTTTAGCTAGCTCAGGCTAACACAAGCATATTGTGTGTATACAAACTCACCTTCACTCCCTTCTGCATATCTACTCCCTCAGAGACCACTCTATAAACACTCAGATTTAAAAACAAGACGGAAAACACTCGAATTAAAAATATTATCACGCAATGAATGAAAGGACATGGAGAAGTGCATGAGAATGTGTGTCTCCCCTCAGCGCCGGTGGAATGGTTCGGCCCGCCTCCCGCTCAGCGTGACTGAGGAATGTACCACTACTGAGAGAGGGGGGTAGGTGGGGTTGTAATTACTTAAAATATAATTAATAACAGGTATTCTTCGCAACATTTAGATCAACTACCACGCATTTTAGCTTATATTTAATTACTCGCGAATTTAAAATTATAGTCGCAAACTGAAAAGCAAAATTGCGTCACTGTTTGTCACCATCGGTCGTTTAATAGTTAAGATTCCGCGGAAGGAAGCGGCAAAATAAACATGTTTAAAATATTTTAACCCTTTATTTACTCATTAAGCAAAATAAAATAAACGTCCACGCGTAAATCAGAAGCAAACAGCGATACATGTTTTAATGAATATTTCGCAGTTTTTTTCGCTTGTGGCCGTTGTCATGGTGAGGGCGGAGGAAATATGGCGCCAGATTCAAACAGAAGCTGATGGAGTTTACGCTTTTATGTCGTTTCGTTTTAATATTTTATTATGGTATCTGTACTTTTACTCTAGTAAAATTGAAAACGAGTACTTGTACTTTTACTAGAGTAATGTTACATATTTATGTATGAGTTATGTAGTCTCTCTTAAAGGGGTCATATGATGCGATTTCAATTGTTCCTTTCTCTTTGGAGTGTTACAAGCTCTTGGTGCATAAAGAAGATCTGTAAAGTTGCAAAGACTAAAGTCTCAAATCCAAAGAGATATTCTTTATAAAAGTTAAGAGTTAACCACGCCTACCTAAAACGGCTCGTTCTAACACGCCCCCACATATCTACATCACTATGTGGGAAGATTTGCATAACGCCGCCCAAATGTTCACGCAAAGAAAGAAGGCGTAACTTTTATTCTCGCTGTAGTATTGTTGCCGCCGCCAATAGTATTGTTTGAGCAGTGTAGAGTAGCGCTTGTTTGTCATTTCTCCGATCACAAATGCAGACATGGTTTTATGTTTACG